TTTATGGAGCCGGGAACCCTCACTGAGCCGGTTCTGACCCAAAGACCAATGGGGAACCTGAATTCCCACGATTCCATTTGTTTGAGGCTAACAATGCGACCAGACATCCTGCTAATAGACCAGCAGCGTGTGTGGACCTGGACTCTGAGGCCATCTCCACACGACTGCCTGCTCTGGGTGGATAAAAGGGGGGGACTCAACACAGTGGGAATGCTGTGACCCCACTTTTTAAATGGTTTCACGTCGGATAGTTCTCAATTAAATGTGTCATTTTTGTTGTCTTTGTAAGAAAACCATATGACTTCTAAATGATCCCAGCATGTGCTGTCTTGTCTTTAGCTTGATTTAGTCCCGGTGGCTCCACTGAGGGGGGGCGACTTCTGGAGAGAGCCGGCTTCCAGAGGGGGTGATGGCGGACGCGGTGAGGGCGCTGCCCTTCTTCTACGGAAACATCACCCGGGAGGAGGCGGAGGACTACCTGCGGCAGGCGGGCAAAGCCAGCGGCCTGTACCTGCTGCGCCAGAGCCGCAACTACCTGGGGGGCTTCGCCCTCTCCCTGTCCAGCTCAGGGCGCTACTACCATTACACCATTGAGAGACAGCAGGATGAGACCTATGCCATTGCGGGGGGGAAGAGCCACCGGAGCCCCATGGACGTGATCGACTACCACTCCCAGGAGCCGGACGGCCTGGTGTGCCTGCTGAAGAAGCCCTGCAACAGGCCCAAGAACATGCAGCCCAAGGTGGGGGCGTACGAGGACTTCAAGGAGAAACTCATCCGGGAGTACGTGATGCAGACCTGGAAGCTGCAGGTGGGTTTGAGCCGGTCCTGGAGCAGAACCCACAGCAGAACATGTGGAGAGCAGACCGGCAGAACCGGGTTCCTCCCCGTTAGGATGGGCCGGAGTAGAAACGCTAAAACCTGTAATACTCATGTCTACATGTTTCATATGTGATCCGGGTTCAAAATTCGTGGGAATTTGGTACCAGTACCAAAAGCAGCCCGATTGGTTCTGTTCTGTCTGTGGGCTCCAGCAGACTAAATCTGAATATTTCTTAGTAGTGTGATGTTCATATTCAGAAACCAGCACACAGAAAACGGTCTGTCAGCAGATCTCCTGTAACGCTGTGGTCGCTGTGCTCTAATATAATATAATTAAACGTTTTCAGTTCCTCTGGCTTGGCAGCGCAAGCACGTGATGAACGATTTCATAGAAATGCTGATAAACTGCAACATAACATGGAGGACGATGGATTTCAAACGAAAATGTTTTTTTTGTTGATTCCCTGTTTATTTTGCGTGTATTTGATATAAAAACTTCATTTACCTCCTCGTCCTGCCCCACGGAGCTGAGCACCACGGGCTAACAGCTTCTTCTAACCCTAACCCATTTTCTACCCTGATGTGATATTCTATCATGTTCCTTTAGGCATAACGAAGGTATTTTTCATTTACCTCTGCAATTCAGCTGAGCAGTTTGACCTTACAGGCATTCCCTCTCTGATAGAAATGAGGCCATTTTTATCAGACCAACAACCCGTGAGGGGCACATGTGGCTTTCCCATTCCTCCTGTAAGGCTGTGTGTGTGTGTGTGTGTGTGTGTGTGTGTGCAGGGCCCCGCCCTGGAGCAGGCCATCATCAGCCAGAGGCCTCAGCTGGAGAAGCGCATTGCCACCACCGCTCATGAGAGGATGCCCTGGTTCCACGGGGGCATAACCCGGGAAGACTCCGAGCCCAGGCTTCAGAACGGATCACGCACCAATGGAAAATTCCTGTAAGCACTCAGCCGCCTGCTGCCGGCTTCCTGTGAACGCACCGGCGTTATCACGCAGCCACACGGAGCCCCGGCTCTGCTCTGAGGGCTCCGGCTGCAGCTCACACTTCTGTCTGTGCCTCTATCTGTTGTGTATTATCTCCTGTGTTTTTCTAGACTTTCTCCCATCCTTTTCCCCACTGACAGGTAGGAGCAAAGGATGCTGCTTCACTAGCTTTAGGTAGTAAAACACACCTCCAACAATAAAATAAGAAAATAGTTCTAAAGCAAACCAGTTGGGCACAACGTGACTGAATCACATTTCAGATGAACTTCATTTGTCAATCACATGACTGGCTGTGCACGAACCTTTCACGTGTGCCACATTCAGGTGTCCAGGATGGGTCCTCTCTCTGTGGAGGCCTTTGTTTGGGGCCTCAGCTCATCCGTTAGCGCTTTAGTTCTCAGAGCTGCTTTAGCTAGGCCTAACTTCAAAAAGGTCTGTTTCATTTCTGTGGTTGGGACGCTTTCAATACGGCTCTGTTAAGAGTGTTTGGTGCTGTTCTTTATCTTTGTGTGACAGAACACGACACGCTGTGTGTGAGCTTAGGAAACATTTGTTCTTCAGATGTGGACCGGCTGCCTTATGGAGTATTTATAGAAGCTGGAGTTTCAGTTGAGAAGCACACTGGTCTCAGCTGAAGAAGCAAAGCACACCCACACCCACACACACCCAGACAAACACATACACACACACACACACACACACACACACACAC